ACGGCTATTAATAAATATCTCCAGTGGCTAGAAAAGAGATACTAGACGGAGAAGGCTTTGGTTTACAAGTTGAACCTCTCTAGTCTGGCATGCTCAGGACCTGACCGGTGCCGAACCAGAAAATTTGCCGTATCACTTGGCCACACCCTCCAATAAGTGGGAATCTAGATTAACTAAAATTTGCTGAACCAGTGAGGTTCAATCTGTACTACAGAGAATTCTTTCCTAAGTGGGTCTTACACTTTGAACAGCAGTGTATCCGATCACTGAAGTTGAGATTGGGAAGGAATTTTCTCTGAGACTTTGGAGGACTTTTTGCCTTCCTCTGTAGTGTGAAGCACAGGTCACTTTCCAGTTTGAGCTAGAGTAAATGAGGAATTTTCTGTTTGAAGTGTTTGAATCAAGATTTGAAGACTTTAATAACTCAGGTAGAGGTTATGGGCTTATTACAGTAGTGGGTGGCTGAGGTTCTGTGGCCTGCAATGTTTTGGAGGTCAAATAGGATCATGGTGGTCCCTTGTAGCCTTAAAATTGGCTAGTCTGTGGGAAGTATGAAGGTATGGCTTACAGAGACAGTATGTATGTTACTTTGTTTATGACCTCTCTTGTTGGTTCCGTTGAATTGTTAATATATAATAAAAGTGAGAAAGATGAAGATGATAAAACAGCTAATGCTATTGATCTGTTTATGGAGTAAATCACTGAGCTGTCACACTTCTATTAAAAACTTTAAGTTTTGAAATATTTGCTTCTTTCACATGCAATAACTTTTTTCTAAGTATTTTTGTATTAATAGTATAATTTTCTCTTCAGTGGCTGGTGAAACGTGCAATAGAAACTAGAGAAGAAATGGGAGACTATATCCGCTCCTATTCCATATCTCAGTTTCAGAAAACTCGTAGTCTGCCAGAGGTAAGACCTAGCTAAAACTTTTTATTTCCACTTAAAATATGGCTGTACATACATGGAGCTGTCCTCTCAGCTGCTGTACGTCCATATAACTGCACTGAAGTTGATAAAACTATGCTAATCTATCCTAGCAGAGCATCTAGCCATGATGTTTAGTGTATAACTGGATTGGTCTAATAATGAGGGTCACTATTAGTAAAGTAAGTGAACACCAAGATTCAAATTGAAGGTCCATCTACGTATATCGGGGGAGATGAATCCTTGCTGACCCCAAATTGTTTATAACTATGATACTGTAAAACATAGATGGTTGGAGCCACCTTTACCTCAATTTCAAACCTGAAAGTGGCAATATGAAACTGTTGTGATTGCAGCAGCTCAGGGCAAAATATCTTTGATAATGCTGGTTATGTCAGTCTGGATGTTGAGATGATAAAAGTCCTTTTCTGGACAATCCATTGGGATTAGTTCTCCATACGTGATATCTTCCCAAAGGCTTATAGAAGCAAAACAGTATGAAGTTTACAGTTGCATAGCAGTCAACTTTTGCTTTAACCGTGGAGTACAGTGTGATGGGTTGATTTGAGGTTGTGAAACTTAATCTCTGAATATGTAACTGAAAACTTTATACTCTCTTGCCCTTCTTCCCCCACTTTTCATCTGAACTTGTTTTGAAACTGTTATTCAGTTGCATTGTTTATTGAGGAAGTATGGTACTTCTTTTACCTGCTTATTTTAATTGGTTGCCAGAAATGTTGCCCAGGTTACTGTTAGCACAAATGGTCTATGAAAAGCTAGGAATATTATGTATATATATAGATATATTTAAACCTCTTTTTCCAGTTTGAGTTGTGCAGTTCCTTATATCAGGGTTGGTTTGCTGATGCAGGCTGGCATATGATTATTTCAAAGGCTGCTAAGGGAGTTAGGTGCATGAATCCCACTGGTGTTCGTTCAGAGTTAGACTCCTAAATCCCATAAATTCCTTTGATAATTCCAGAAGAGTGGTTAAAAAAAATCTAAGCTGCTATAATAGTCTGTTTCTAAGACATCTATGTTCTGCATATAGAACTGAGAGGAAGGATGGCCCAATATCTAGGGTGATATGCTGCAAATGGGGATATTCAGTATGAATTCCCTGCTCTGCTAGGGAGGCCGACTTCCTTTTGACATTGGGAAGTCATTGAGTCTTTCTGTCTCGGTACCCTCGTTTAAATAGAAATAATGCTGGCAATCCTCTATCCCAAACTGAAATCTGAGTAATCATTGCACTGAAACACTTTCTTCTGCAGTAAATCCTGTTAATTTTTATTTTGAGTGCACCAAGAACCCCCAGTCTTGGATAGGGTACTGTACAAACACAGAACAAACTGACTGTTTTTGATGTCAGTGTAGAGTTTGTGTACTGAATAACTGAGCAGCTAATTTAAGAATCAGCTGATAAGTCTGCTTGCTTAATGTTGTACAGGCTTACATTTAATATTTATTTTAAATTGTGTCAATTAATTGTCTTGCAGGATGACGAGTTTATTCAAAGGAAAGAGAAGGCTATGAAAACAGTTACTGATATCTTTGTAAGTACAATATATTGTGCTTTTATGATCAAATTTCAAAATGTCAATGTTTAAAATCCTTTTGTGAATAACGAAATGTGATATTTAATTCTAATTAATACAACTGCTACAGGGTTTTCTCATGAGGAGGTCCCAGTGAGGTACTGCATGTTAGATCTTGTTCTCAGAAAGGGTAATATATGCCATCATGTCACGTTAGAAACCTTTAGCTATATAATAAACCACATCAGTTGCCGCTTCAGGGAGTGTCTCTTTCCATGCCATCAAAAAAAAAAGTCAAAAGATAGCGCATACATAATTAAACCACTTGTGACGTAGTGGGGGTACTTGCTGGTCTGTGGTGACCTCTGCTGTCTGGAGCAAGACCCAGCAGGGAAAACCTCATTATGCAAAGGTAACGCCAAACCTGTTGAACCAGACACCCCCATGGAGAGGAACAAAGGAAGGTGGAATGCTGCTCTGGCTGGGGGGCAGGGCTGGAAGAGTGCGGGTTAGTTGTTGGCTGGGAGCATGGAGGAGACAGCCTAGGGAAAGGGGCTGGAGTTTAGGGGCCCTGTCTCCCCCCATCTCAAGGGGGCCTGAGGCATCCTAGCCCAGCTCTGTGACCAGATTACATCTGTGCTGTGCTGTATCCTGGAGAGGCAATAAACTTCCTCTATTTCACCGGCTGGTGCAGGAGACGGGGGACCCCCAACGCGCCGTCACACTCACTAAAACCCGGAAATTAAATCTATTTAAATGCATTTAAATTTCAAAACTTGTTTTCAATTTTACTGCTTGCTAAAACAGTCAATCAGAATGTATGTACTACTTCTAAGTTATGCCTACTTGGTAATGGTTTTTTTTTCCCTGAGTCATTTAGACTGTTAAGAATTGATAGTCTTTTTTTCTAATTTAAACATACAGCATGTAACCTTTTAAAAGTTAGCAGCAGTTTCTCTAACTATTTTATCAGAAACCATGTTAGTGCAAATAATGTTCTGAATTGTTATGAATTGGATAATGCCACCAAGGATTAGTATGTCAAGTACTCTTTAATTGTCACTCCCTTACCTGAATTAAAATGTCTATATAGCAGTTAGACATCTCTGTCATCTTATTGCTGAACAATTTATCTCTCTAGTCTGATTATTGGTTTACTTTCAGTGACAATAATTTGTTTCACTTGTCCGTGATGCTTTCTGTAAATTCATAGGCCAAAATTAAGTGACTGGTGACCTTTGTGGCCTCAATTTCGTATGTGTCCAAATATAATTTGTGAAGAGGCCTGATCTTCAGAAAGTAGTAAATAGCTACCCTCCGGGGGGGGGGGGGAACCCCCCATTAATGTAGGTGGAGCCGGGTACCCAGACATTGTCCCCCAAAATGTAGAACATCTTTCTTTGTATTACTAGCTGTGTTACAGTGACCCTTTGAGTAACCCAACTCCAATAGTCCACAATTCAAGTGAAGTTGAAAATTAACTTAAGGCATACCTACACTAGGAAATTATTTCAAAATAATGGGCTGTGTAGTGGGGATGCTCTGCTCATTATTTCAAAATAATGGGGGGTTATTTTAAAATAACTCCCTAGTGTAGTTAATATTGTATTCTTAGAGTTGTTATGATTCCCCCCACCTTTTAATTGTTGATGGGTTTAAATTTTTTTCTCTTGTTAGTAGTGTAATTAGGATAAGAGTAGTGATGCCACACTCCCCAAGATTTAAGCGGTGCCTGATGGCCATCCCCAATGCATTCGAGTCAGGATCATTCTCCTAAGAGCTGTCACCATTGTAAAAAGCTCTCGTCTAGATCATTGAAAGTGAGGGAGTTGCTGGTGAAACTCCTTACTATGGAGAAGATGGAGAGACCGGCCTTGGAACAAGTATCTCAAACCCCGTATGTGACCGATAGCAGCCTCTGAGTGGGGCTCTTCAGCACCGAGGAATCCTCCAACCAAGGAAATGGCTAAGAGGAAACATGCCTTACCCTTTCCTGATAGACCATTAAAGAGGCTATCCCCTCAGCAGAAGTCTTCCTTGAAGGTATAGGGTTCAAGGGATCCGCAGGCACGAGGGCTGTCTGGTATGGACAAACCCAAAAGGGCAGTGCCCTCTAAAGATTCATGCCTTGTGGTTTCAGCACCAAAGTTGAAGAAGGCCATCCCTGTGCCATCAGTACCAACACAGTTGGTACCCAAGTCATTGCATCAAACCGTGGCTGAGGTCTGACTTTAACTGCTGATACAGACTTTGACAAAGATGGCTCTGACACTGCGTACCAAAGTTTCCCCATTACTGACCATGTCAAAGGCACGGGGCAACTCAGTACTGCAACAAATCCAGTCCTCCACACCACTGATACTGGTCTTTCCTTTGCCAAGGCCTCTCACCACTCATCAGGAGTTGGTGGTTTCTTCAGTACCAGGCACACCATTATTTGGTACCGACACCACCCCAGTGTTACAGGACCCTAGCCGACTGGCTACATCATCAAACTCGGTCCCACCATTTTCTTAATGACAGGAGGATGAAGGAATCTTTCTCCCCATGGCATTCCTCTGCTAAGCTATTCTCTCAGCTGCAGCTACAGCATCAGCAGACCCAACCACAGATGTGGCAAACTTTTTATGGTTCCCTCCTATTCCATTTCCTCAATCATGGTAGGGATGAGATCTGTGGGGCCTCATAAGAGCTCAAGCATCAGCACCACAAGTGACAGTGGTAGCAAGACCTCAGTCAGTGGTTCCTAAACCACCTGCATCCAGGTTTAACACTACACAAAGGGAGATGGAGGAGCTGGAAGAGACACAGAAGGGAGACCCGTTACTTCCATCACACACCTCTTTCTCCCTGGATGAATTGATAATGCTCCCTCCATTGACAACAGGCGACAACTTCAAGTCCTTTCAGGACCTGTACACAATGTTGGCCAACTCCCTCGACATTTCTTTAGTCAAGGTTCCCAAGGTACAACACAAATTAACTGATATTTTGCAGGCATCAGCATCATCGAAAATAGCATTATGAATTAATGATGCCATACTAGACTTTGCAAAGATTTTGTGATAAACAGCAGCCTCAGTTTCCCCAGTCTCAAAAAAGGCAGACAAGAAATACCATGTTCCTGCCAAAGGGGCTGATTTTTTTGTTCACCCACCTGGCACCAAACTCTGGTGATGGACGCAGCCCATACCAGGGGCAAATAGACCCAATATAAATCCACTCCTTACGACAAGGACTGGAAGAGCCTGAACATTTTGGGTAGGAAACATAATCCTCAGCATCCCTCCAGATCAGGGTAGCAAATTATTCATCATTGCTAGCAAATTACACATACTACCACTTTGAAAACATGAAGATGTTTATTGAACACCTCCCAGAGGACCACAAGACTTCCTTCCAGTCCAACATTGATGAAGGGGTCATCGTAGCAAAAATCGCTCGGCAGGCATCGTGGGATGCAGTGGACACTACCTCAAGGTCACTGGCAACATCAGTTGTCATGTGTTAGGCATCCTGGTTGCACCTCTCTGGATTCCCTAGGGAAGTTCAGGACAGTTGAGGACCTACCCTTCAGTGGACAGAAGCTTTTTCTGCCACCACAGGCACTTCTCTGCATTTGCTCAAGGACTCACAAGCCATGCTCAAGACCTTGGGAATATATATCCCTCAACATAAAAAGAAACTGAACTGTCTTTACATACCACAAAGCAGGGCGCCATCATTATACTCCTCCAAGAGTAACAGGTACTTCAGATGATGGCAGAGGTTACAAAAGCTCTGCCTCTCATCTTGAGATCTAAATACAATATTTTAATATTTTTGGCATTAAAATAGAGACATCTGGCTGTATTAATTGACATAATTTTTGCAATTTTTTAATGTTAAAGGAGGGAACCTTGTGGTTAGGTAGATGGCAGAGGTTTTGGAATATAGATGCATTGAGAGATGGCTGGTTATACACAATCTCTCTCTTTCTCTATGAATCTTTCTCTGTGAATAAGCCAGTTAAAATCTTTAAAGGACAGTATTACACTTCTGCATCTTGATAACTGCCATGAATTTCAATGCCAACATTCCTCACCAGCCTCGAGAATTATCAATCATGTGTTAGTTGACTTTTAGTCCTTTCCTTTAGGCTTTGTTTCCTGTCCAAAAGGGTTTGAAGAGTAAACTTGCAAAAGGAAAAAGAATGTCCAACATGGGCTTTCTCTCCAGCCACAACTTTTAGGTCTTCTCACCTGAAGTCTCCTTTCTCCAGGGACCACTGCTGGAATCTGTCCCTTCTTCTGCAATCTCTTCTCGTTCCTTTCCTGCAACTCTTGATAGGGAACAGCTTCCTATTCTCAGCTGAACCCAGGTGTCTGGCCTTTAGAGAGGCAGGCTACCTTGTAGCAATGCTTTTGTTTACACCTATTTAACTACTAAATATCTTTTCCTCACTAATTTTTTTGCAAAAAAAATCCCAACAAAAAACAAACAAAAAAAACCCTCTTTTCAGCTAAGAGCAGTCATTGGACAGTAAGCAAAGCCTAGAGGAAAGGACTTAAAGGCTGATTCACGCATGACTGATAATTCTCGAGGCTGGTGTGGAATGTTGGCATCTTACAAGCATCTTAAGCAGACTTGTGTGAAAACCTTTTCCTTCTTCCTTTCTGTCATTAGTCATCATCATCGTGTTGCTTAAGTCATTTAATTGTTTCTCTAATTATTGTAGGCTGAGACTACAATATGGTATTACATTGGAAATTGCTCTGCTACCAGCAATTAGCAGCCATGTACAAGTTGGACCTCCTTGGTCCGGCACCCTCATCATGCCCTGACTGATCTGAAATGAGGGATTTTGCTAGACCAGGAAAGGTGAATTCCTGCCTTCTGCTGATGGACTCCAGGCTCTCCAAGGTCCATCAGCAGACTTGACCGGGCTCCTCTCAGGCCTCCATGTCCCCACCTGGCTCTTCTGCAGGACTCCCCTCCTTTGGCTCTGTGACCCCTGTCAGGCTGTGCTGTTGGGTCTGGCTCCAACCCCAACTGCCAAGCAGGCTCCACACTCCTAACTGGGCTGCGCTGCAGTGTTTGGCCCTAGCCTTGGCCATGGGGTGGGTTCCATGCTCCTGGCTGGACTATATTGTTAGATCCAGTCCCAACCACCAGGTTTCATGTTGCCAGCTCCCTGCCCTGGGCTTGTTCCACTGCCAGCCCCAGCACTTGGCTCCCGGCTCCTCTCCCAGTCAGGGCACTCTGGTCCTGCACCATCTGTGGTCCTCTTACACTAGTAATCTCATAGCTTTCCTGGTCTATGCTAAACTATTTAGGTAAGTTGTAATGGAGCCGCATTCCCAGTGTAGACCAGGCTAAATGAAATGTAGTTTTCCATCTGTTCAACATCACAGAGGTTGAGAGATCTATTGCTGCTTTGTGCTCAAAGTAGGATTAAACAACACAGCTGTTAAAAATACCTGAGCTCTGTCTGCACTACAGCCTCCACTGTTGCTGTCATCAGTGTTCCTGGTAGGTGGTTTATAGAGACAAGGTGGTGAAATTTTGCAGAGCAGATAACTTGAATTTGTAATATAGAAAATGAGCTGAGTAACTTCTCTTGCAGGGAAGTAACCATTCTAAACCTTCATTCCACATAATGAAGTAGTGAGGATAAATCACCTTTGCAGGTCATCCTTGTGTCACTTTGCACTGGAATTTGTAGGAAGAGATAATTTTCTCTAAAAGAGGATCATGTAAATGTGGAAAAAATTATTCTGTCATCTGGATTAATTATTAAAACTGTGGCCTGAGGACCTACCTGCTGTGCTCAAAGGGAATACGAAATGAAATGTATGGTTATGGTCAACATTGAAGGATAGCAAAGAATGAGTAACAGTGACTGTATCTAGAGCTGCTGATCATGAATGGTGCATGTGCTGTGAATTGAGATTTTTCGAAAAGTAGTGTTACATTCTTCCACACACTTATCAGATGCTAAATCTAACATTTATGATCTATTTGTGCATGCTATAATTGCTGTTATGAATTCCATTCCTTAGCATGTGCCTACACAGGAAGGCACATGATAGGAGACAGCTTTCAAATTCAGCAGGCAAAGACATAATCAGATCCAGTGACTGGAAGCAGAAGCTTTTCTGTAACTTTTGGGGGGCATGAGGGGGACTCTTACCTAGTCAAAAGACTCTGGTAGCTGGAGTTTTAAGAGAAACACCAGAACATTGCAAACCTTGCAATAAAATCAGAAGAGTTGAGAACACTATTCTTGATCTGTTTTTTTCAGTATTTTCACTGCCAGTAGTACTTAGGGATTTTTATTCTTAATGTTTTAGAGACTTTGTATTGAAAAGTATCAGAGGGGTAGCTGTGTTAGTCTGAATCCGCAAAAGCGGCGAGGAGTCCTGTGACACCTTATAGACTAACTGAAGTGTAGGAGCATAAGCTTTTGTGGGCAAAGACCCACTTCGTCAGATGCATGTAGTGGAAATTTCCGGAGGCAGGTATAAATATGCAGGCCAGAATCAGGCTGGAGATGATGAGGTGGATCCAATCAAGGAGGATGAGGCCCACTTCTAGTAGCTGATCTGGAATTCACACCTCCAGGTTACCTGGTTAAACATGCAAATCTCTAGCTTATACCGATTCGCCTTCCCATATGAGAGGGAGAATTGGCTATTTGGGTATAAGGAACCTTCATAATGATATAACAACATCCATGCTAAAGATCGTACAGGTATAACTATATTGGTTTAAAAAAATTTTCCCCCCTCGCCCCCAATAGTTACATTGCCACACATCTTTGTAGATAAGGTCTTGGTGGTGCTGCTTGGTACTATACAACCTCATAGCTGTAAAGACTTTGGGAATGGACGTTGTTAGTAACTCTGAACAAAACATTATAAAGTTTATTTAAAAAGGTTACAACCAAACGTTGACTTAAATAGTTTTGGAACTTTACCATTCAGAAGAAAAATGGTGCTCTTTACCATATTAATTTAAATGAAATGATCACAGAAACAGTTTCCTCACCTTGTCAAGTCTTTTTCTAACTTTCTCTTTTAGTAGTTTAATACGGTATTGAATTTACAGTAGAGTCCCGCTTATCTGACCTTCGCTTATCCAACATTCTGCTTTATCCAACATAGCTGGATAAATCCTGGGATTTGGCGAGAAATCCCCAGCAAGCCTAGAGCAGCGTTAGTATGCGGCCCCTAAGGCCAGCCGCCTCATGCTGCCATGCTGCATGCAGCCTCCCTGGCTGAAGAGGCTCCAACAGCAGCCCCTGAAAGCACGCTGCCACCGGCCACCTGCCACGTGACCCGCCATGTGACCGGGCCTGTTTCCCCTGCCCCAGCCACCCATGTCCCTTGAATTGTAGCTCACGGCGGGCAATTGAGAGTCCATCCTGCAGGTCGGAGCCTCCTGCTGGCACCGCTTGGTCACGGTGCCTGGCCCCTTCCCTCCCTGCAGCCCCCAGGTGCGGGCTGAGAGAATTGCCCCGCTCACTGCCCCGTCACTCTGGGCGCTTCTGCTGCTGCTCCTGCTGCCCTTCTCGGCGGCCTCCAAGCGGAACATCCCCAAAGTGCTGCTGCCCTTCGCCCAGAGCACCAGAATCAACTACAGGTAATCTGTACTCCGTATTATCCTACATTTTCATTAATCCGACCACCTATCAGTCCCGTTTAGTTTGGATAATTGGGACTCTACTGTACTTTTAAAATTTCTCTTGTACTGCTGATTGCATACTTCTGGTTCCAGATGAGGTGTGGGGCTGACTGGTTAGTTAGTAACTTATGTTTATAACTCTAAGGTTTTGATGTCATTATTGGATTTCTCTGCAAATGGTATTTAATTGTATCACACATTCTTTAACTTAGCTACAATATGGCATTGATTAATGTTGGTTGCTAGAATGCTGGGAGTTATTTTCCCTGCATGTTTTTTTCTTAAAATATGTTAGTATGTTTTCCCTTCTTGTATGCCAGGCTAAAGAAGCAATAATTAAGTAGACAGTAATTTCATTTAATTATCCAATTAAGACATAATTCCCAGTCAGTGAAGCTATCTGTTTAATTCTAGGGGGGTCTTCATTTAAACCGGCATCCGTTTTGTTGGTTTTGACCATCTTTTCTAATGTGCTTGAAATGGCAAATTGAAGAATTATTCGTTGTGTGAAATATTCATGTATAATATTAGGGGGAAAAAGATGAGCGGGGAAAGAAAAATACTACTATAGGAAGCCTTTTAGGTTTAGCTTGTTCAGGGTATACCAGCTTAATTGCAGAAACTGAATTCAAAGCCATATGGAGTAGATGGAGGAGATGGGCTCTAGAGCGCGGGATTTGATTGCTCATTATCCATTTAGAAAGATAACCATTTATTTTAAAGAAGTTCTTGACCATCTTTGAATTCATTGACTGTCTTGCAGGAAGTTTATAAACCCCAGAGGAAATACAAACGTCAGGATGGTGCAGAAGAGCTTCTAGATGAAGAGTCTAAGGTTCATGCCACGCTTTTGGAATATGGCAGGTAAGTGGGTCCTGTTAGTGTTAACTATTTGCTTATCCTGATTTGGTTTAAATGCTTACATTGTATAAGCCCTAACAACCTAGATTTTGTTTGGGAACCTTTTGTTTTCATGCGGACTACTCCGATTTCAATAGGTGTCGTTGGTTTCACATTTTAAGTTTATTTAATCTATAAACACTTTGGGGCAAGAACTGCCTTTGTAATATGTACAGTGCTCAGTGCATAGCACAGTAGATCCCCAAGCAAGGTCTGTTAGTACCACCACTGTATTTAAAAAAAAAAAAAGATTGTTTGTGACTTCTCTCTCCTAGGAGTATAAAATCCCGTGTAAATTAACTGGTTAAATAGGGTTAACCGCCGTGCGTGCAAGAGCGAGCACTGGACCATCTCCTTGGCTGGGCAGGGACCCTGTGCCTAGCTGTAGGTGGAGGGTCTAGCAGGGCACGCTACGGACAAGTGACTCCTCTGGCTGGGCAAGGCAGGGCTTGTTGCACTCACTGCAGTGCAGTGGACCTAGCCAGGCTAGAGCAGTGCCTTCTGGCCGAGCCAGTCACCGTTTAAATGGTTACACCAGTAAGCATGCCTGTAAGGCAGTGCTTACTGGTTAAATGGATAACCTTTAAATCCCTATTCTCTGCATCTAAAAAGAATGGTCTAGATTCTTGACATTTCTAACTGGGCTGGGACTTTCAGCCATGATCTTTAACTAAAGTTGCCTTTCAGAAGTGATTTCAAGTGCAATGGGATTATTGTTTTGCTTTGAAATGGTGTGAATATGATTAAAACCTTAGGAGACTGACTTGTGGCTATAAAAAGATGCTGCCTGTTCTATGTGAATAATTGTCCTGATGAAGTGACAAAAATCTAAATATAAATGCATATGAATATCTCTTGACTTCTGTAGTCTTTCCGGTTTTGTCTGAGATAAATTGGGGTGGGAGGGGGCGGGGGAGGAGGAGGACGACAGTATTTGGGAAGAAGGAACTGAAGGTACTAATGAACTTTATCTATTTCCAGCTCCTATTTCTAATATTTTCTTTTTTTCTTAGCTTAGTAATAGTTAAGGCTCTCTAATAATGGCTTTTCCACTGTTATTTCTAAGCTCTTCATCTAGTATTGTTTTCTTTTTTCAAAAAAAATTTTCATTCCTTCTCCCCCACCTTAGATTTACTGACTCTTTACTGTGAGTATTTTCCTTTTTGATCCTTTTGACTTCTATTTTCAGGCAGCAACACTGCCCTGCATTGAAGCATGCTTTATAACATTTCCTCTCATTCTCTGTGTACTGGCAATGGCAGCATGGACTGACTAACATTTTCCTTCTAGCTTGTTGACAATAAAAGTGGGGTAAAATCTTGACTATATTAACCAAACTACAGTATTTGGTTCTACAAGGTAATTTTAATCCAAATGTGAATGAGAAAAGACTCCTTTCACTCACACATGTCCTTGAACATTTGCATAAAATCTAAAGTTCACCAAAGAACATTATTTTTCAAAGGATTTCAGTATAGATACTGTAAATATTAGCTGGTTGATGAAGAAAAATAAGTGCGTTTGCTACTGAGTATAATTAGTTCTGGTATCTCTTGATCTGTTCAGAACACTACTCTAACAGTGCAATCTCTACTGCTTCTAGGAATGAGCTACCTATTGTGTATATAATGGCTAATAATTCCATAATGAAACTAACATTTTCAAAAACTGTGCACTGTAATCTTAAAATGTCACAACTGCAGATTTACCTGACTGCAAATCAGTAAATATTCCTTAGCTACCATGTTGAGAAATTTTGCAATATGCTTTAAAACGAGTCATAAAACTTTCCCTTCACAGACTTGAAATGAATGGGAGTTTGTCCAAAAGCTGCAGCATTTTGCCCATTACTAATTGAAGTATTTCCATGAAATATTTTCTTTTCAAAAAAATGTCATCTTGATTGAGTACAATTGCTGGCTTCTCCCTGAATTTTTTATTCATCTAGAAAACTTTGTCTTCAAATGTATTTTAAAGGGAACGGTTATTTTAGTTTTTGGGGTAGAATTAATTAGTAATTGTTTTAGTTACTTGTGATTTTTAGCCATACCATTTGTAATACATTTGGTTTTTACTTTTATAAAGAAAAAATTAATGTTACAGTTGGAAGTGGCTCCACTGCATTCTGATAAATCTATCTCTGCTTTATTCAATTAACTGTTGTAAAATATTCTTCGCAATGATCTGAGTTAGAATTATTTATTTAGTAAAAGATTTACCTGGCATTGCTCTGGTCATTAACTCAATTTTTGTTTTTTAGAAAATAAAATAAACATGTACATGATTGAAATCATTGCTTTGGTGGGAGGCTGGAGACATGGGGTCCAGTATGCAGGCTGCCCTGGGTGTAGGGAGAGAATTAGTCCAGTTCCTTCTCACCGCAGCAGCTTGGTGTCAGGTGAGAAGCTCCTCTCCATGGCTGCTGCAGCAGGCACAGGCTGGGGGAAGGGTGCATACTTCCCCCCTTCTCCTCCCCACCAGCTGCGGCAGATCCAGGTTTGGCAGCCCCCTGTGCTCCTCAGGCAGAATGAAGAAAGCAGCAATTTGTGCTCTTGCTCTTTGCTCTCTGATGAAGGGAAACAGCCAGTAATGTTCCCATATGAATGGGAGAAGAGCTTCAGCTTCCCCCTGCCACGCCCTCCTTAAAGGATGCCTCTGGGTGGTTATAGGCTTCGAGCTGGGGTAATCCTGGAACCAGGGGAAGGGAGGGAGGACGCTTCCAGATAGCCCCTTTCACGTGCTTGGTGATTTTGTCTTTTCTTTATGGTTTCTGTATGGTTTTATGCCCCATTTCAGACACATCCCATTTTCTTGGCACAACCAAACCCTTAGAATCATAGAATACTAGAACTGGAAGGGACCTTGAGAGGTCATCAAGTCCAGTCCTATGGCCCTCATGGCAGGACCAAGCACAGTCTAGATCATCTCTCATAGATGTCTGTCTATCTTGCTCTTCAATATTTCTAGAAATGGAGATTCCGCAACCTCCTTAGGCAATTTATTCTAGTGTTTAACCACCCTCATAGTTAGGAAGTTTTACCTAATGTCCAACCTAAACATCCATTGCTGTAATTTAAGCCCATTGCTTCTTGTCCTATCATCAGAGGCCAAGGAGAACAATTTTTCTCCCTCCTCCTTGTGACACCCTTTTAGATACTTGAAAACTGCTATTATGTCCCCTTTGTCTTTTCCTTTCTAAACTAAACACAGCCAATTTCTTTTAGTCTTCCCTCATAGCTCATGTTCTCTAGACCTTTAATCATTCTTGTTGCTCTTTTCTGGACCCTCTCCAATTTCTCCACATCTTCCTTGAAATATGTTGCCTAGAACTGAATACAATGCTCCAATTGAGGCCTAATAAGCGCAGACTAGAGTGGAAGAATGACTTCTGGTGTCTTGCTCTCAACGCTCCTGTTAATGCATCACAGAATCACGTTTGCTTTTTTTGGAACAATGTCACACTGTTGACTCATGATTAACTTGTGGTCCACTATGATCCTTAAATCCCTTTCAGCAGTACTTCTTCCTAAACAATCGCTTTCCATTCTCTGTGTGTGAAACATATTGTTCCTTTCTAAGTCAAGTACTTTGCATTTGTCCATATTAAACTTCATCCTATTTACCTCAGTCCATTTCTCTAGTTTGTCCAGATCATTTTGAATTATGACCCTATCCTCCAAAGCACTTGCAACCCTTCTCAGCTTGATATCATCTGCAAACTTAATAAGTTTACTCTATATGCTAATATCTAAATTATTGATGAAGATATTGGACAGAACCGGACCCAAAACAGACCTCCGCAGAGCCCCACTTGTTATGCCCTTCCAGCATGATTGTGAACCATTAATAACTACTCTCTGAGAATGGTTATCCAGCCGGTTATGCACCCACCTTATAGTAGCCCCCTCTATGTTCTATTTGCCTATCAAAGAAAGCTATCAGATTGGTTTAATATGATTTGTTCTTTATAAATCCATGCTGGCTGTTACCTATCACCTTATTTTCTTCCAGATATTTGCAGATGAATTCCTTAATTACTTGCTCCATTATCTTTCCTGGTACAGAAGTTAAACTGACTGGCCTGTAGTTTCCTGGGTTGTTCTTATTTCCCTTTTTTATAGATGGGCACTATATTTGCTCTTTTTCCAGTCTTCTGGAATCTCTCCTGTCTTCCATGATTTTTCAAAGATGATAGCTAAAGGCTCAGGTGCCTCCTCGAACAATTCCTTGAGTACTCTATGATGCATTTCATCAGGCCCTGATGGCATTCAGACATCTAACTTTTCTAACTCTTTTCCTTACCTTGCTTTAATTTAGAAGAGGAAGCTGTATACCAGATTTGTGGTGCTAGTTCTTACCATTTAGGAGGAGCTCTTGAACGGATGGACAGACAAACTCTTTCAAATTACATAGTAGACTAGAAGACTTACTGGGCATTGCCCGGGTCCTTCAGGGCTGGGAGGCTGGCGATATGTGTGTGGGGAAGGAGGGGGAGAGGAGGTGCAGGAGTCAGGGCAGGCTCTTGTGGATGTGTGGGGAAGTATGGAAGGAGGCTGGGCATATGGAGAGTGCAGGAATCAGGGTGGGTAGTTGAGGAGGAACTCAGGGCAGGGAACTGGGTGTGTGTGGGGAGGATACAAGAGTGAGGGTTAGGAGGGGCAATGGGTAGGGTGTCCCATCTGATGGGACCGTCTCTTTACTCTCCCCAGCCAGAAGGGGCTTGCTTTCTTCTTTTCCCCTTAACCCCACTCCACCTGTCCCCTGCTGGAAGGGGCCTTCTCTCATCCTCTGTCTGGTTCTGCAACCAAAGGTGAGGGGAAATTGAAAGAGAGAGTATGCGCAGATAGTACATTAAGGGGCTCATGTGAACCCTGCTATTGCACACAAAAAGTTCCTTAATTCATGATGATATAGTATTATTTGAAACAGAACTACATGTTTCATGTAGACTACCCCTAAGAATC